GATCATGAAGACTGTTGTTAAATGAGCTAATAGCGACCATAGCCTACAAAATACACATTCAACTCAAATAAACTAAGAAACCGTTTTGCTCTAACCTTATCTGGTTTAGGATAGAAGATCTATTATGTTTCGGTACAATCTTCTTTGCTATATAAGACCATCACATCAAGATTTGTATCTGCAATTTGTTGCTCAACTAATTTTTAACCAAAAATGTTAGATTAATCAATTATGAGGAAACAAGAAACCTACAACTTTTGATTACAGTTGAGAAATCAAACTAGAGAGTTAGCAATGAATAAGTGAGATTCTCAAGAAAGTGAAAGTGACAAAAAAACAAGTAAAGGAAACAATCAGGAGATTAAATAAAAATAAGCAGGCAAACAACTAACCAAAGAAGCAAGTAAGGAAGTACACAACTAAGCAAGGAATCATGGAATAAAATCAGGAACCACACAAGGAACCAAGGAAGAAAATAAAGCGCACACACACACACATAGAACCACATAACTAAGAGTCACATAACTAAAGAAAGAAGAACGTAAAGAAGCAAGCAAGCAAAAGAAACAACGAATCAAAGAAGCAATCAAGAATCAAAACAAGCATACAATGAATTAAGAAAGAAAGCAAAAACAGTAAACAACAAACAAATTCAGAGGCACGTAAATCAAGGAACCAAGATTGTAAAGAAGCAAGCAAGCAAAAGAAACAACGAATCAAAGAAGCAAGTAAGAATCAAAACAAGCATACAAGGAATCAAGGAAGAACGCAAAAACAGTAAACAACAAACAAATTCAGAGGCACATAACTAAAGAAAGCAAAGATTGTAAAGAAGCAAGCAAGCAAGCAAAAGAAACAACGAATCAAAGAACCAATCAAAGAATTGAAACAAGCATACAATGAATTAAGAAAGAAAGCAAAAACAGTAAACAAAACACAAATTCAGAGGCACGTAAATCAAGGAACCAAGATTGTAAAGAAGCAAGCAAGCAAAAGAAACAAAAAGAAGCAATCAAGAATCAAAACAATCATACAAGGAATCAAGAAAGAACGAAAAAACAGTAAACAACAAACAAAGCACATAACCAAGAAAGCAAAGATTGTAAAGAAGCAAGCAAGCAAAAGAAAAAACTTAAATCAAAGAAGCAAGCAAGTAAAAGAAACAACGAATCAAAGGAGCAAGTAAGAATCAAACCAAGCACAAAAGAAATCAAGGAAGCAAAGCAAAAACAAGTAAACAACAAATTCAGAGGCAATGTGACCAAGGAAACAAGCAATTATACTTAAACAAAGACTGACGAAAGAAGTAGGATCGTACCTTTAACAATATTGGATTACTCATGCCAAAACCCTAACCGCAACATTAAGTGAGAAAAAAGTCATTAGCAGATATATATACCTCCACCCTCAAGCTCTTCTCTTTGCACCCTCAAGCTCTGCTTGGTCTGATCTCAGCAGTACGTTTTATCAATCTGCAAAATCATTATCATCCAAATCAAAATCTTCACGGCTTATTTCTCATCTAACAAAACTGCAACAAAACAACACAGAATCTCACCCCCCAAGATAAAATCCTAAAACTATGTTTGCACAGTTTTGGAAATCGGGTTCGAAATTCCATGGCGGTTCGAAATTCCATGGCGGTTTACAGTACTGCAAGTTCCAGACATAGTTTACCATCAAGAAGATTACTAATATTGAGTTGAGCTTATGAAAAATGTATAGGTTTGAGTCAGTATTATTAGAGACGTTTTAAGATGAGTAAAAACAACTTACAAAGTGTTTAGTAGAGGCGCGTAGCGTCTGTTACCCCTAGCTGTTTACACTCTCTTGCACTGTTTACAGGAAAATAAATTGAATGAAGCATGGAGACTCGTAATCCTTTGTTGGCCTGAACCAATACTATAACTTTGTGAGTAACTGAGCGGGCATTGCGAATAGGCTTTACTAAGTTTTAGTGCAACCTTTTTGGCCAGGATCAATACATCACTAGATATAGTATCTGCTGTCACCTAAAGAAATAAAGTCAATGACAAGATACATGATTAGTTGTGGATGATTGCTATGCCTTACGTAGAACTAATAATGATCAAATGTCTGATAAAAATAACTAAGTTACCTTACCAGTTACACACAAAATACCGTCAAGGTTGCTGACTATAAATGGGTGGACCAAAACTTTAAGTAATTCTTGTGAATTCTCTCTAGACATCTTCAACAACAAAATATAAGTACAGATCTTCTTGGAGCACCAATGCAAACATTACACCACTTAACTCAGAATCGTGAAGATTGGTATTCGTTATTTATATAAAACAAAAAAAATTTAGAAGATTTCATAGCGTAAAGAATGATTTACAATGGGTGCTACCACAACTCAAGCTTCACAATTCTCATCCTAAGAATAACTTTCCACAATTCTTAATCCACAACTGTATAAGATAATGTAAATTCAAACTGGAAGGGAAAAATTTAACAACAAACTGTAATAAGCCACATACCATCTAGAAACAGAAGGATGGCACTTTAGCTTTAATTGTCTTCAGAACTATGGACTGCAGTGTTTTTGAGAAAGAACATGCCCTGATTTTATACACTTGATTCTACCATCTGCAATGAGCAGTGCTTGAAACAACCAAGTGTTATGTTAAACTTCAAGTGTTTAACTCCAAGTGTTTGCATTATGAAAGATAAGAGCATACCTCTGTATGGTCACAATCATTCGAGTCAAATCTGAGTTCAGCTAGGACCAGCACATCAAGTTTGGTATCTGCAATTTGTTGCTCAGCTAGTTTTTACATTAAGAAAAAAACGTTAGATTCATCAATAGATTAGTGATCTCAACGCTCATCAGTGATGAAGTAATACCTTATGTAGTTGTCTTCTTTGTCAGTCAACAACTAGTCATGCTAGAGACTTGTGAGTGAGCTTCTGCAAATGAACACATGTTTATCATGTAACCATGTATCTAATTTGTCAAAGAACTATAAGCTAATTAACACATCTGAGAATAATATTTGTACAAAGAGTTTTTGGGATGGAACATACATAGAAAAGAGAAAATTTGTTACTTAATGGTGCCAAAGAATTTATGAGGTCCTTTGTCCAGACTGGTTGCAAGTAAGCACAAAGTTCTCCAGTCCTGAACTATTAAAACAGAAGATAAAAATGAGATTTATAAGATATTACATTGCATCATTTATCAAACACTAATTCAACTACTATGGTCACGATCATTTGAATGATCATGAAGACTGTTGTTAAATGAGCTAATAGCGACCATAGCCTACAAAATACACATTCAACTCAAATAAACTAAGAAACCTTTTGCTCTAACCTTATCTGGTTTAGGATAGAAGATCTATTCTGTTTCGGTACAATCTTCTTTGCTATATAAGACCATCACATCAAGATTTGTATCTGGAATTTGTTGCTCAACTAATTTTTAACCAAAAATGTTAGCTTAATCAATTATGAGGAAACAAGAAACCTACAACTTTTGATTACAGTTGAGAAATCAAACTAGAGAGTTAGCAATGAATAAGTGCGTAAGTAAAGAATCTCAAGAAAGTG